ACTTTCGCAATGCAAAATGTTCTTGTTTACTTTTTTTTGATTTCCATACAACTCATACTTAAAAAAATTGCTGGAGGAAAAAGCAAATACACAAAAACCACATGAACAAGTACACGGAATTTTGAAGAACAAGTTTTTATTGTTCAGCCCTTCTTCAGGTATTGAGAGTTTGTATCATCACTTCATAAGTAACCCTCTTCCGACATCTTTTAGGATTTTAAATTCATCACATTATTCTTTTAATATTTTTTTTCTTTCAGCTTACTGGTGGCTTACTGTTTTTTTCTCACTAAACCACAGGATAAAAGTGGCTATATGCCTACTTTTAAGCTAAAGTTGTAATTCCTAATATAGGCACATTTTCTTCCTCTCCTTTTCTTTCTTTTCCTCCAGGTAAGCAACATAGCGCCGTGAGATTCCAGTTGAAGTGATGCAACGCTGAAAATTAAATTTACACACAAGTGTTCAGAGTCTGGGTCGTAGCTGGATCACTCCTCTGAGTGGGAGGTAATCCAGCATGGAGCACAGGATAATGATATCTCTATGCTGAGGTCCCTTTCATGAAATATAGCACAAAGTTCTACTTTGATACCCGAATCTAATCTGATACAACGTGTATAACTGTTGCTATTGGTTGTGTGGTAGTAAGGGCTTATATTGTTTTGTTAGGTGCTGTACTACGTCTCCTTTTCCTTTCAACTTACTAGCACCCAGAAATGAGCTTTCCAGTAACTGAACACTTACCCAGAGATAGTGGCTTAGGGTTGGCTGGCTGAGATGTTTTACAGAATACAGCATACTGTTTAGAGTTTGGAAAGGATTCTTTTTTTTTTTTTTCTTGGTTCAAAGTTATTTCTTCATAGTCACTTATGGCCAAGGTTATTCTTTCCCAGCTGTATTTATCCACTGTGCTCATCTGCATCCAGATACAACACAACCCTTCATAACCTTGAGATGAGCTTTCTGTATTGGCTTCCAAGAGGGTTCTGTCTTGAGATGGTAGGAAGTGCCTGCAGAACATCTCTGCCCACATACGAGTAACAAGGCCTTCACAGGAAGCACAGGCTCATCTAAGTGATTGAAGCTGGTGGGATAGGTTTTGCAAAACACCTGTGAGTCTTAAAAACACAATCCCATCCAAAGGTAAAACAACCTGTACCCTTTCCTTCTGCTGTGCCAGTCCTTGGTCTCTTGCATATGGCATCGCCAACAATTTTGCGCTCTACCTGCAAGGTTTTCTGCTGCCACTTGACAGTTCTGCAGTCAGCCACTGGCTGATAACCACTGCACCAAGAGAGCTGCTGTCAGGGCCATTTTGCATGAAGCACAGGCAGCACCTACCCTGCGAAGCCCTAATGTGTTGATTTACAGAGTCCTCTTGGCTGACACGGGAAAATGAGTCTGGTCATGGTTGATTTCACATTTTACAGGCAAAGAGTCAGCCTTCTATAGTAAGTTGGACTACTGCAAACGTTTTGCACATTTACACACAAGTCGACGGGAAAAATATTCAAGATACTAAGTGGTTTTGATGCTCACATCGCTTGAAAATAACTGAAGTTTCAATTAAATAAATACAAAGGCGTACGCTACAGGGCAGACCCTCGGGCGGAGTTGGCGACCCCTGGTCTGCGGGCACACCCGCTTCAAGGCCAAAGCGCGAGGCAGGCTGCGGGGGGGCT